TTACTGCGCTTGCAACTGTATAAGGTCATGTGAGCGCCAGTCTCATGGGGTTTTTTGGGAGTTTTTTAAGTAGAGGTTTTACGGCACTCGCAACTGCATAAGGTCATATGAGCGCCAGAAGATTAGAGGTGTTACAAGAGAGTAACAAACATAAAAAAGAAGAAGGGGAGATAAGGACGATAGACGTTTGATAGGAAAGAAGGAGCAAACCACACCAGAGCACCCGCCAACCACCCACTCTCATGGTTTGAGTTAAAAAAACAGAGGTGGTTGTGGTAAGAGTCGAACGGCATTTGACTTGCAATACAGATAAAATGATTCATTTAGTTTTGGTAAGAGTTTTACGGCACTGGCAACACAATAAGGTCATATAAGTGCCGAAGATTAGAGGTGTTACGAGTAACAAGAGAGTAACAAACACAAAAAAGAAGGAGGGTATATAAAGACAGATGTTTGATAGTAAAAAAGAAGCATATCACACCAGAGCACCCATGGGGGCAGACAGAGGGGAAAGTCTCAAGGTTTGAGTTCGAAACCAAGGTTGTTGTGCTAAGAGTCTAACGGCATTTGATTTGCAATACAGACAAGATGATTTATTTAGTTTTAGTTACAGTTTTACGGCACTTGCAGCATAATAAGATCAATAATAAGGTGCCAAAAATTAGAGGTATTACAAGAGAGCACAAACATAAAAAAGAAGAACGGGAGATAAGGACGATAGATGTTTGATAGGAAGGAAGAAGCAAACCAAACCAGAGCACCCGCCACCCACCCACAAGGGCAGACGGAGGGAAAAGTCTCATGGTTTGAATTGAAACCAGTGTTAATGTAGTAAGAGTCTTGCGGCATTGGATTTGCAATACAGATAAGATGATTTATTTAGTTTTGGTAAGAGTTTTACTGCACTTGCAACACAATAAGGTCATAAGAATGCTAAAGATTAGAGGAGTAACAAGAGAGTCACAATCACAACAAAAAAAAGGAGGAGAGATCAGGAAGATAGATGTTTGATAGAAAAGAAGGAGCAAACCACACCAGAGCACCCGCCAACCACCCATTGATGACACAGATGAATACACACAAACCCACAAACCATACACGTAAAAATAAATTTACACAAAGACCCACACTTGGTGCTCATATGACCTTATGCAGTGGATGAATGATTGGGCCACAGGTACGACAGGAAGGAGGATGTATGGCCACATGAATAAACCACTGGTCAAAGATCCATTCAATGAGTTGAGGAG